TTGTTTTAGCACCCACCACACAAATGCCAGGTGTGGATAGTAATGACAGATGGAGAAATCTCTTTTGGCAAATTGCTTGTGAGAGATTTCGCAGCGAATCGGGTTCACTCAAAGTTAACTGACTCCTTGATGCCGTCATCCAAATGGCCATAAATTATAAGTGACGAAGGATCAGTTCGTTAGCTTTGACGGCAAAATCTTGCAACTTATTTACATGCCCCACCAGCTGTATATATATAGCTATTCCTTACCAAAATCCCCAATCTGTGCTATCAAGAACTTAATGCCACGTGCCAGACAACAAAGAAACGCACTCCCACAAAAATGAAGGCAACCCGCAGGAAAATGCTAAATTTATCATTTGCAATGCGCTTGAATCCAGGAGCCTTACCAGACATGCCACCAATTTTTCGCGCGTCTTTGTTGCACGATGGATTGCTAAAATGCTAGTGCAAGTGGTCCATGCTTAGGAATGGAAATTTTGAAATAATATGAAATCTCAATAAATTCTTTAAAGTAACTTTTGTTCTATATTCAAAGGTAAATCATAACCATTTATTCGCACACTCAAACTTTATCTAGAATACCCATAATTTTGTCATAGATTTCAATCTTTCCTTTGTATAATTCTCCAATAAAATGTAGAATTCGCACCAGACACTAACACACAAGCGACGACAAAACTTTTGCAGCTTTGACAATAAAAAAGTTTAAAGTCCTTTTGCGCCATTAACCAGACTGAGACAAAGACTCGGTTCACACACACCCGTATCCTGGCCAAAAGAAAAAGTTGAGTCACACGGGAACCACCCATAAAGTCTGCAGATTGCCAGGACCAAATGTTTGCGTAAATTTCCTGCAACAATTTTGCCAGTGGCCAAAAAGCAGAGGGAGGTGAATTCATTGGTGGTGCTGGGTGGTGTTGCAAGGTGACACATTCCTTTAAAAACAAGCAAGTGGCTGCTGCAACCACTCAGTTGCTTGTTGACTTTTCCTTTGTTTTCTTTTTCTTTTTTACTTTTGACTGCTGATGGGAAATTTTTCATTTTTAATGGCACAGGACAAAGGACATAGAGACGAAGGACTTTCATGTCGCACTCTTTCTAGTTGGTGTTCCGCTCGGCAATCATATTGGGATCAGCATTGTAAATTGCCCGACTTGAGTCTCATATTTCTTTATTTCTCTTCCTGATTTTGATAAATGAGTCGGGGGATATGGTGAAAATCTCCCATGGCACAGCTTGTAGCATTTGATTGCTCCTTGCCCCGGCGAAAGTTAAACATTATTTCCTTATTTATTTCCCTCAACTTTCCAGACTCCGCAGAACAGAACCCTTTTGCACGCATTTCCTTTCGCTTTTCCGTTCATTTTTTTTGTCCGAAAACATAAATTTGCTTTGTCGCAGCTTCCGTCTGGTCATGTTTTATTTTTTACTCTTTTCGCTTGGGGTTTTCCCTCCTTACATTTCCCTGGCCCGTGTTGAACAGTTTGACAAGCTCTGAACATCGGTAAACTTTTTCCCCGACCACCCTAACTGCTTTTGCAAATGAGATTTCGTTCAGTTTGCTGTGATAAATTGTTGATGGCGCTGAATGTGCTTACATGGATGGTGTGGGTGGGAATTTGCCAGGGGTTAGATTCCGAATTTTTTGGGGGCATGATTCCAGGAAGGCGTGTGGCATTTAGCTTGTCGAGAAATTTTCGGTTAAGCTGGGTGAGGAATTTCATCGATTTTTTTGATCGCTTCCTAGAAGTTCTCGCCCTCTTTCGGTTTCCTTTTAATCCAATTCAATGAACCTAATATGGAAATTATTCTTTGGAATTTGCGGTGGCAAGTGATCGAATGACCCCTAATGGGCGGAAGGAAACCAAAAGAATCTAATCATTTATATCAGGATTTCCTAATACCGTATAATAAAGTTATGCAAGCTTTAAACCACTTTTCCTTAACTGAGCAGACTCCTTCAACCTGACCCAACTCATCAAAGGAACACAAAATGAAACGGTGAAACTTAATGAAATATGCAAATGATTAAGGCCTGGGCGATGGGTCAGCGGTCAGTCAATGGAAGTAATTGTGGAAATTATGCGCTTATATTTTGCACAGTAACAACAGCAACATTTTGCCATTAACTAAACCAAAACTGAAACCCAATTAAAAGTTAAACGCCACAAAGGCAAACCCCATTGAAAGGAGCTGAAAAAACTATAAAATCACTGTGCAAAATTGTATATAAACTAATAAATAATTAAATCTATGATTAACAGCTTCTAAAGTTGTAAAAACCACCCACCAATTACTTTATAGCTCTAGATTAAAGCCTTCGAAACACTAGTTTTATGCTTTATCCAATTATATTTTATATTGGTCGGAACATACAAATTTGTAGAACACGCTCAGTATTTTTGTTCAGTGTCATGTCTTGAAGTACTGAATATTTTTTCCTTGGTCAAGTTGAAGGCTTCCGGTTAGCTGCAGTCGAGGCCAAGAGGAGGATGCGAGCAGCGAGCTTAGCATATTATAAATAACATCCGAACACGCAAACCGTTTGGCCAGGTGAAAACGGGGAGTGGCGGGACGAGCGGGGAATCCTCAAACGAGTTAACGAAGCCATTGGCCGTAGTGTTGCGTGCCGAAAACTCTTTTCGGCCAAAAGCAAACTGAACCGAGAGAGAAACTTTTGCAGCTGCAGGACAAGGAGCTCGAACTACGGTTGCCGTAAGGAAGTTTGATTAAGTTTTCCATCGACTTAAAGTTCCTGCCCGCGAGGCGTCGAAATTAACTAAACCGGAAAAGAGAGAACTACGTTCTTCGCAGGAAGATAGAACGAGAGCAGGACATGGCGAAGAAGGACGTGCCTGGGTTCTCTATGAACGAGAACCCGGATAAGTATGCTATAGAGATTCTCGCAGGCACGTAAACACATTAAGATGAGTGCGACAGAGATGGCCGAGGAGAGCTAGAGAGTGACAGGGCGATGGGATAGACCGAACCTCCTTTATGATTATTGTCTTAAAATTAATCAAAGTGCGTGCCTGAATTGGCCAAACTTTTTGGATGGTGTCCTAATAGATTTTGGGCCCTCTCACACTGCCCGTCGCTTTTTGTTTGTGTTTTGCATTTAATTGATATCCAAAACTCATGCGGGAACAGTAAAGACTCCCTAAGGGAAATGATAGATTAATGTTCAAATGTCTAGTCACTTGAAATTTGGTCTTGAATGTAAGTGGTAAGTATAAACCGCGAATTCTTCAGTATTAATATAACCTTGGGTAAACTTAAAAAATATTTAATGAACTCCTTTGTTTCATAAAATATGTTCTTTAATATCCACTGCGTCTCTCTGACTTCATTGTTAAAATCAAGTATAGTTTTTCAGCTGTTAAAGTTTACTGTGGTAATCCCCACCACCAGCATTCGCTTCGGGTCAAACTTTAATACTTTCGAGGGAGATTAATTAAATTACAGGCAATATTTGTTATGCAGAGGACAACACCAGTCGAAGGATTTGCCTTCGAAGCGAAACAAATTGTTCTGGCGTGTGGAAAGTTTTCGGGGTGGAGAACTTTCCCACTTGCGGTGTGGTGTTGTACGTTGTATGTTGTATGTTGTATGTTGTATGTGTATGTCTGCCGAATGTGCTGTGTGCGGATGTAGGTGCTTCAGCTGGCGGTTCCAGTGTGACAAGCCTCTGAGGTGCCATATTTGACAATGTGTGCGGCCGATTTGTCATTTGAAATGCCCGACACTTTGCGGCTTGAATGTCACAAGGACACCTGCGGCGACGGTTTCGATTTACTGTTTGATTTTCGGCAGGCCGCTTCTACAAAAAGCACTCCTCAAAGGCCGCGCACGTCATTTGCATAAGGCTGAGGCGCCACACTTTGCGACAGGCTTGCTCCTTAGCTAACTACAAATTGAGGAATTGACAGCGGCCTACACAGGAAGGAAAAGTGTTGGCTTGTATATATGCATTAATATAAAAGTTGAGCACGTAAACAATATGCTCTTAGGAAAGTTTTTGTGGACTAATTCCCATTTAAATTTTTAAAATAATTACGAGATAAATGATATACTCTTAATGTAATACCAAATGCCCCTAAGCTTAATCAAAAAGCATTTTGGGCTGTAAACAACTTTCTGGAAACTTTTCATCGTGTGCTTTCTGTTCTCGAGTTTTGGCCTCCGTCAAATGTCACCCGCCATTTTATGTATTTTTAAATATACAAAAACAGGCAGGAAAAAATGCAAAAAAACGGAGTCAAGTGGAAGCACATTTTTCAACTGCCATCAGTTTAAGCTGATGAAATTGCTGACTGACAGACCCCAACCCCACACCACCCACTCTTTTTTTTCCATGCCCCCTCAATATTCGTGGTTCATTTGCCATCATCGTCAATAATATGACATAAGTATACTTGGAAAAATGTACCTCCACCAAAGTTTTCCCTTTTCATCTGCTGTGGGGTGCCTGCTGTGGCTGAGCTTTGTTGATTTCATAATGTTTTCAGACGTTTTGCTTTTTTTTGATTTAGTGGCCGATATTGTTTCGTCCTTTCTTATTTGGTCTCAATCTGCGAAATAGCTGGATATTTTATTTGTATTATTTTCCTACTCTCTGTTTGTATTTTTATTTGCTCTGCTGATTATGATGCTATTTTTGACACTCGACAAAATCAATAAACACACAAATTGAAGCTATTGATGGTCGTGAACTATAGGTTTTATCGGCTGGGGTGGCATTTAATTTATTATTTCAGAGTTTAAGATAAAAGTTTATTGCCTAAGTTTGTTATATATATCACAATTAATATTTAAAAAAATGGTAATATCCTTAAATTAATGTTCTAAAGATATGCTCTCAGCCAGGCAATTTTAAAGGGCTAGGTCTATCGACTTTATTGCTTAACCGTGCATTTGATTCATCGCTTTCCTGTGGCCGTCATAAATCAATTTATTTATATTTCCATTTCGGTTGTTTTCCTTCTTTTTTCGCAGCATCGAGTATAACAAATTGAAGCCAACCAATCGGAACCTACTTTGAGGCAAAAGTGCGTTACGGTTCCGCCAATTAATATAGATGGTGAGTTGATTTTTATTCCGGAAAATGTCCTCTTGCTTTATTTGCAATGCATTTTCGATTTTTCCATAAATTGCATTTTGCAATAAAATTTCATTTGCCTTAAACTCTATTAAGTCTATACGGTGTATAAATATTTCGAAATATGCAGGCTAATGAAATTTATGGTAGGCCATTTTGATTTGTTTGCACACAATTCTGTATAGTCTATAAATTGTATCGATTTTAGACAGTGAATAATATGGATTTTACTTTAAAAACGAATTTATTGTTTAACTCAGCCAATAAGCTTAAGCAGTGACTTCTTCATAATTAAAATTTAAACATAGATTTTTGGAGAATTGCGCCAGAAACATTTAGAGGTATGCCACTTCAAAATCCGATTAATATAAGTTGAGTTATGGAGCTTAGAACTCCAGAATTTCTACAACATCATAACATAAAAAAAAATTGATTGAGCTATACCCTCAATTCAATCAGTTTTTTGCCTGAAAGTGTAGGTTTCGTTTTTTTTCTTTTATGAAGAAATGCAGTTTGTTGAACTTTCCCCGTGCAATTTGTATTACCAATGCGAACGGCAAACAAAGATGAGCTGGGGAAAAGTGCAGGGAAAAAATAGCAATGGCAAGCCAATGAGTCGTATGATTCGGGCAATTGCGATTCCAAAGGAGCAAAACTGCTCGTTCGCCTGGCGAGCTCGCCCAGATATCCTTTGGCTTGAGCCGGAAAGATGTCCGTAATAATTCACATCTGGCCAGAAGGGGGCAAAATGCTCAGGAAAAAAGATTAAATATGCAGCACAAGTCGAGACCAGGAAGACTCTTAGTCACACGGAAGGAGCATCAGAAAATAGCAGTTGAAAAGTTTAGTTTAAGTGTAAGGGCAACAACAACAAGAACCACATCGACAACGACAGGCAGCAGAACTTGGCTTAAATGCGCTCATGTGCAAAAATGCCATTGTTTTGGATTTGGTCGTAAACAAAGCGGTGAAGCGAAGGCAAAAATTTTCCTTTTCCCTTTCCACACCCCCAAGAAGCATAGAAAAACTTGGAAAGGTTGGCACATTTTCCACCTCTCCCTGTCGAAGTTGGGGGAAAAAAGGAAAGCGGAAGGCACTGGCTAGTACAGCAAATAAGTGTAAAAGGTTGGTCAAAACTTTGAGACCTGCTTAATTCCCTGGAAAGTGCACTTAACGGAATTAGAACGGTGGTCTGGTTAGTCATGATATGGTCAATTTATCAGGTTACTTTGCTAACTTATATATATTTCTCCAATATTTACAAGTTCTTAGGAAATAGGAATGAATGAATTTGGATTATATTTCAAATGGTACTCCTAAAGTGATCCCAAAGTGTTATCTCTAAGCAGAGTTTTGTATTTTTGTATTCTCGAAACTGTGAATAATCTTCAGCATTATATGCACCCTGTTTGTTATTAATAGGGTACGAGCAAGCAACAATAGAAACAGAGACAGCAACAATGCGCGTTCAACACTTAAGGACACCTCCTCTCTCACACACACACACACAGAAGGGCTTTTGAACACGCAGGATTGAAGGAGGAAGCAAGTATGATAGTGGGGTGTGGGCCCAGAATTCTAGATCCCTTTTAGTTCCATTTCTACTTGAAGAGTGGGTAAAAAAGTGCTATTGGGTTTTTGGGTTCTTGCTGCCGTTGCTGCTGCTGCCGCTTTTGCTTTTCCTTTCAACGTGCGTAGTTTCCTAGAGCGTGAAGAAGAAGAGGGGAATGGTGGGGACTTTGGCAGACTGTGCCACAAATGGCGTCGCATGCTAAAAACCCAAATAGCAACAGCAACCACCGCTGCAGCAACTACAACAATGTTGTGAATGTTTGCTTGCAATCTCACTGGAAAAACTTTTGAAATGCTGTAAAAAAGCAGCATCTAGACTACGTGGGCGGAGGCGATGGGGATCTCGAGTGACTACAAGTCATAAAGTACACAGCACAACAGGGCAAACAGAGAAAGGACAATACGCAGACAACCAAGAATCCAAGTCCTGTGTCCCCCAAAAATGTTCATGTCCCGTTTTCTGGCAGTCCTGAATTGCAGTCACATTTTTGGCATATGTCACCACACAACCACATATGCAATTACAGGACTAGAGGCAGGCAAGCAGTTACATTGAAAACATTTTAACCAAAATTGAATTTACTCCCCAACTCCATCCAGCTCAGAACACTCGGAAAAGACCAAACAAAGCCGCCCATTAATAATTCCAAATGGTCGCCAACAAATTGACCATTCGAAGAGTGCTATCCATTGGCCCATGTAAGTTTTACCAGAAGTGCCAGAAAGCAGCAACAGTTCCATAAAAATGGCTTATAAATTATTATGGCACAAAAGAAGTAAAAGAATTTGTTCGGTCACTTTCGCAGCGAAGCCGAGTTTATAAATTGGCCATAAAGACCAGAAGCGGACAGAGAAAAGTCGGTGGTTTGGGGACAAAAAAAACTTTGCGACAAATTGCAGGAAAAAGTGTACTGAATGGTAGGGCTGACTAGTTGGTTGCCCATTTTAATTCGGGGGACTAAGACAATTGTTTTTAAGCGATGAATTTATGGTGGCTTTCCTACGTAATTTCAGTTTCCAACGTTTATTTGTAAAATAAAACTGCTACCTTATCTTTGTATTTTTCAGCTTGTTTTCCAAATCGGAACAGTCGCACATACCCCAAAAATCTAGTTTTCAAGTGGTCAACGATGCTCAACGATGTTGTAAAAGGTTTAGCCAACAATTGGTCGCTCGGTTTATTTGTATAAAATAGATTCTGTCTAAATATTTATGCTTTTAGTTTCGAGTTTACTTTTCAGGCCATTGATATTTTCCCTTTTCCACTCCGTTTGCCGTTTGTTTGGCTTTCATTTTGGCAAATTGATTTGTCCATTTGAATGAATTCATACTGTGTATATTCCATACGGATACCTTGTTTATCTAGATGGCATAGATGCTAACAATAACAGTTCAATTTAGTTGATTAATTGTCAATCAGCGGGTTATTTGCTTTTCACGGCCTTTTAACCAAGCCGCAAGGAGATGCTTGCTTGCGGTGTGAATTTCAAAAAGATTTTCATGATGCCACCGCTTTCCATTTCCTTGGTCCGTCCTTTCGTAATATCTCGTTCATCTGGATTTCCATCGTCATGTGGCAGCTGCTTTTAGGTTGCAAATAAATATTTTATGGCACTTTGGAGGCGCTGTCTCTCTTCCTCTCTCCCGCTTTCAAATACAATATGGCCGCCGCCATTTTGGCATTCACTAGTTCGCCATTTTTACCATTCCGCCATATTTCATTTCCGCTTCCTCCACGTGCATGTTGTTTTTGCTCCTGATGCCTTTGTTTGTTTGCCGCTGCCATGGCGCATTTTGTGAAAAGTCAATTATTTATGCATGTCACGTTATTTTCCGGCAAAAGAGCACAAAAACCTGAAAGAAAGGAAAGAAACCCCACCGAACCAAACCAAACAATCATGAGTTGGGTAGCACAGAAACAAATAGCACGAGCCAAAAAAAATAAAGAAATTTGCGCTAAAATGGCCAAAAATTCAAATGTCACCGCCAGCAGTAACCGCATTTTCCCCTTCCTAATTTTTCTCCGCATTACCCCGCTCTTCCCCTCCACGAGTTTTCACCATCAGCATTTTCACATTCGTTAGGTGGCAAGCTGATTATTAGATTTGACTTCTATGTGCGTCCTTGTGTGCTTTTGTATACTTTTTGGGTATATGTATGTATACTTATGCCTGACACTGTGTGTGTGCATTTGAAAGGAGCACATTGGTGACAAAACAGAGAGGCGCACAGGGATATCAGGACAACACATGCCATTGAAGGCAATGGAATTGTAATTCAATAGAATGAAAAATTTCTTTATTTGCTGCCGAAATAATTTTTCATTTCGTTATATCAGCACGATATAGGGCCCTAGGCTAAGCAGATTAAGTTTGGGAAGTTATACCAAATTGAAGCCTATATTCACCCCTTGTTTTCAAGAAAGGAAAATTCTTTTAAAAAGTTCTCTATTTTGCGCTTACGTTGAATCTTATTGTAAGCTATTCTGAGATTTCTAAGTGGTTTAAATATGTAAAAAAACGTGCAACTCAAGTGCCAGGCCGCCGTCTGGCACTTTTAATTTCTTTAAGCCAGCCAGCCCATCAATCCCATCAATCAATCTCGCTTAGTTGTCATATGAAACATGACAGTTAACCAGACTGGACATTATAAAATATATATAATATATGCTTTTCCACTGCCATAAACGTCAATAAAAAATATATTAGAAACAAACTGGTGTGCTGTCCGCTGGTCAAAAGGAAGTGTAATAAATTGAATTAAATATAAATTAAGTTTTATAGAAAACGCAGTGCAGAACAAAAGCAGACAGCAAAAAGGTAGAGTGAAAACAAAGGCCAGAATCCACCGAGTACTGAGTTCAGTGGGGCGTTAAATTGAATTGTTGTCACCACAATTTACACAGCCACGCCCCCATTTCCTCCATTATTCTGGCTCGCTTTTTGCAGGCTTTTATTGTTGTTTCTTCTGCTGTGTGCATTATCGGGCTTCTTTTCTTCTGTCATATTATTACATTATTTGCCATTTGCTTTAGGCCAAGTTTTTCCCGCTTAATTTCCCGGCCATCCGCCGTTTTTCCGAGTCGCTCCCTTTGTCAGCGGCGACGGGGCGTATGCGTATTGTAATCAAGTCATAAATTTGCTCAACTGCGAATTGGTCTAAAGCGTTGCCAGGCATTTTCCTGGCCCACAAGCAGCTGTAAACTGCCTTTCGAGCCGCACGTGCCAACCAACCAGCCATTCAGACACATAAAGATTTATCTCCTGGGTGGGCTAGGGCACTCCTTTTTCCTCGCTTTCGGTTTTCAATAAGAAAGGATTAAGTTGAGTAGGAAAACTACAAACGACAGTCGAGCTTTCTACCTCTTCGCAACCCATGAAAGCCAATAAAAAGCAAAGATCGCATATCTA